AATTTTATATTTTTTTCTTTTATTTTGTTTTATTCTAATTTTGGTTACTTAATTTTGTTTTGGTCTAATTTGTTCTACCTCGTGATAAAGTTCTATATTATTGTAGATTAAATGGATCTTAAACACTTGAGATAGACTGGTTCTATTTCAAATATGGGATACTATTAATAGCTAAGAGGACCTATCAACCATCTTTGAAGAGATCAAAGATTAGAGTATGTCACAAATATAATTCTTTGCATCGTAGATTTCATCAACACATAATGACTGCTCATCATAGAACTTGTTTCTAGGAAGGAGGGTAATGTCATAGAAATGCATACATACTCTAGTAAATACCTATATGATTAGGTAGAAGTAGTTAAAAGTATATAAAAGTAAGTTAATTTCATAATATCTTCTAAAAAATATTCTTAGAAGCATCATAGATGTTATTTTTATTTTACATATTTTTGTAGTTGTTTGATAGGTTAGAAACTTGATCAATAAATTAACCACATATTAATAGCTTATAGAATAAGCTAATTATGTGGCATACATATAAAAAAATTATCTTATAAGTTAAGATATATATCTTATAAAGTCAACACGTTTCAAAGGTCCTATAGGACATTGCCACATAGTTCCTAATTAAGAGTATATGTGGAGGTAAGAATAAAGCCTTCTTCACTCTTGTCAATACCTTTTTAGTCTTTAGTCTTGTTTCTAGACTTTTTAATCTTCTTGTTTTTGGCAATCGCCATTCTAGTTCAATAATATATCATCTTTGAGTGACTTTCTAGTTTTTCTCAGTGTTTTAATAATATATCAATGATATCTTTTTTCAAGATTTATGTCTTTAATAAATATTTTTTTAAGATAAAAAAATTCTTTGTCATCAACCTTATAGACTTCTATAGCCATTATCTATTTTAGAACAATCATGATGTTCTATTTCTATGGATTTTATCATAAATCTTTTAGTTTCAAGTTTATATGATTCTAAATTTGTCATAATAGATTGTTTTATTAAGATGGCATATTTTATACTATATACAAAATCTATCATATGTAAAAATAATACCTAATTTTTTTTCTTAATAATATCTATCACTATCATAAATTATCAAAAGATATTATATTATATAGAGGGATTCAATTTGTATTAAGATTTTAGATAATCTTTTTAAGATTATAAAGATGGATATAAAGCTTTTTTTTGCTTCTTATCTTCAAACTTATGGATAAACATGATATGATAAAATCCTCTAAAACCTTGTATATCCTTATGTCAAAATTTTCTAAAAATTCAACACTTCATATCTCCTAATCTGACTATCTAAAAAAATTCAAATTTTACATAAGATATTGATGTATTCTTATTAACTTCTATAATAAATTTCAATTCCAAATTCATTGCAGATCTTGAAATATCTTAAAAATCCTAATAGTCACTTTAAACCCTTGACTTTATACACCCGTGTGCAATTTTCTTCATATCTCACAAAATATAAGCTTAAATACCACAAAATTTATATATATATAGCTTTTTAATATAAAATATTATATTTTTCAAAATAATTGAGTCAAAAATTTATCCAAAAACTTAAGTTATGGCTCCAACCATTACTATAAGCGAAATTATTTACTTACTACCTTTGATTTGGAAGTGCCACCTTCAACTCCCTATAATTCCTTCACATGAACTTCAAAAATAACAATTCTTTTAAGAAAGATGTAGGCTTTGAAATTGCCATTTCAATTACATCTTTCGATCTTCAAAAGCTATCGTACAACTCTTCATATCCTCAAAAGAGTAATAATATGTCTTAAATTAATACCTTAATTTCAAATGGCTATATTTTCTTCACCCTAATTCCAAATCCTCTAATTTTTATATACAAATTATAGCCCAAATCCTAAAATTTACAATCTTGGCTTCTTATTTCCAAATGCCTTCTTTGAAGGTACCAAAATCCTCGTTAAGATTGTAGGCAGCGTTGTCAAAGCCCATTGGGCATGGTATTCGACTAACAGGAATGAAATTGTTCATTCCTTGTCTTTATCCGACCATGCCTTGCTTTCATCCCTCTCAATTAGCCTCCTACTAGTTTAGATTTTCATCCTTAGGCTTCCACCTTCTTCCAAGGCTTCATACTAAACATTTAGGTCTTATATTTGTTTTAATGGAAAAATTAAAACAAGTAAAAAAAAACAAAGTAAAGTTTCTTATACCAACTCTTTTTAATTTAATCTACTAACCACTCTAACACACATCTAGATTTATTAACATATAATATGTTTTAATTAATTTTTATATATTATAAGTATTTATGATACGACACCAATTTATGCCATCTGATCCAAATCTGTTGATTTTTGTCTCATCTAACCAAATATCCTTCTTCAAATCCTCCACAGTCTATTCCATGTACTTCAAAGCAAAATCTAAGCATTATTTTTTATAGCGGGTAGATAGTAGTGGCTTTTTCTTCTTCACCATGACTTTCATATTTTATTTCTTGAGAACGTTTCAAATGGTTTTGGTTGATATAAGATTATTAATAATATTATTAAGATTTTTAGAAACTTCAACAACTTTTTTAGCCTTCTTAGTATTGATTTGGCAAATGATTGTCCTTTCATCTATTACATTGAGATTCTTTGGTCTGCATAATTTAAGGTCCTTTTTATCAAAAGTAATATTTTTTGCTAGCTTCAAGATAGTAACTTTACTGTAGTTAAGTTTGGAAGCAATTGGACAATAAGATTTTTGAGAATGAAGAAGAACAAAGGTGATGTTGTCTTGGAGAGAGGGAAAAATGGGTCTATTAGTTGTTCAAGAAATTATCAAAGACACAAGAATTTGAAAAAAAAATATATCAAGATCAAAGACAAAGAATGAGATTGATAGCAAAAGTTGTTCCAAAGACTCTTATTTATACTATAATGAAAATTACAGAAGTCTATGGTACTTTCTATGGAAGTTTCTAGAAGTTGAAAAAGGCTTTTAGAAGCTTATAGAACTTTCTAAAAGATTGTGGAAGATTCTATAAGTATCTAGAAGGTTTTAAAAATTTGTAGAAGATTCTAGAAGGTCGTAGAATGTAGTAATTTTAAATATGCTAGTGCTAAGAATTGTGATTGAGAATGGTGTTTTTATAGCTGCTAATAAGCATTAATGATGTCATCAGATTAATAATAATATTGTTATAGTAAATTTGATGATGATAAAATGCTATAATGTTGAATAATTGATTGAATCCAAAAATTAGACACTACATTCAAAAAATTATTTTAATACTATTCTAAATTAGATTGGTCATAGTTTTATAATTATCTAATAGATTCTTTTCAACTTAAGCTCATTTAACAGTTGTAAAGGAATAATTTATTTGCTATACAAACCATGTATCATTATTCACTACAATTTATTTGTAATACACCATTCTTTCCAAAATATGTCAACATTGAAACAGTTTTTTGAGTCACTATATATATAAGAAAATGATAAAGTAATCCAAATTTTTACTAAAACATCAAAATCTATCTTTATTATTATTACATCCTTACAGTCCTCATCTTTGTTCTCAACCATTCTCGATTTCCAACTATTACTAAGGATCGGAGCAGGAGATATGAACATTGGGAATATAGAGGAAGAGTGGAAACATTGCGAATGGGACAACGATTGAAAACATAAGAGCGGCTAAGAATGGAGAGAAGGTTGAAAAGATACAATGATGGTTTAAACATATGGATAAATTTAGTAAAAATTTAGATTATTTTAGTATATATATATATATATATTATAATAAATAAAAATAATTTCTCTTGCCCTTATTTATATATTTTTCCTCTCTCTTATTTAGAAGCTCTTATATCCATCTATGCATTTTTTGAAACTTAAACGGGAGTATAAGGTCAAGGTTGTTATGAAATATCACTTGACATAAATTTTTATTCACATCTTGTAACTAATAGTAATATGATTTTAATATAATTGGATTAATAAAGCATTGTTTTAAATTATAAAATTAAATAACATAATGAACCTTGTGAGTAGCATATTTATATTAATATATAAAATAAACAAAAAAACTTGTGAAAAATCTAAAAGAGGGTGTTAACTAAAAACTCCATTTAATTGCAATATAATGTACTATGTGACAACATTAAAAATAACCAAAATGCTTGCTAATGTATATATATATATATATATATATATATATACACATACATATGAACTAATCAATTTAATATGATATATAATAAGGACTTTATATGTATAATTAAAAAAATCCCACAAATAGATAGATATATATATATATATAATTTTCTTTGTCTTAAAGTAGTCATATTAACATTATTTTTTGGTTCTATTTATATATTTTTAGATGAATTGACCTTCATTATTTTAGTCTTTAAATTTAAATAATTATACAAATGGTTTAATTTTAGAAACATTCAAAAAAAATATGCATTGGTCATTCTTATTAAGAGTTCCAAAAGAAGTCAATATTACAAGCTTTTGCCACTTTGAGATAAGAAAACCTAAAGTCACACCTATTATTTAAAGTAAAGGTGATTATATTTTATTTTCATTTATTTATTGTTTGCTTCGTTTGGTTTTGTTTTTGTTTTTTTCCTTCATAAAATAACACTTCTCTCTACACCCATCCATCCAATCACCCACTTATCCCACTCACGAACAAAAGCCAACAAGTCATTCTCAAATTGAACATGCCTATTACATTAATAATGTCGGTAAAGACGCTCAGGAAAGTACAAGTAAAAATGGGAGAGCTTTACTGGTCAACCAAACTATAACACGAAGGCGAAAAGTAAGAATTACATATCTCATGATATTAGTTTCCGATGAAGAGTTACTTTGCAATAGGCTCTTGTTTACTGGTCTCATCCCCGGGAGGGTTGGAACCCATGACCGATTGTGGCGGGACGGTAATCGAAACCCTAATTTCGTAGGCTTGGTCCAGAGGGAAGCTCGGCGCTACGCAGGAGGAATGGCAATCAATGCTGGGTGGCACTAGCCTTGCTTGCTTGTTTGCTTGATTGCAGCAGTAGCCCCAACTGAAGCTCTTCCTCAGCATAGTGAAGCTCACGAGCTCGTCCACTTCTCTTGTCCACGACCGTGCAATTCTGCTGTTTCCACTACGGCTTTTTCTCCACTTTCCCAAGGTTTGTATTTCTAGTGCTCTGGATTATTGTTTCTTCTCAGGGTCGACGTTGTCGGTTATGGACGAACCCATTATCGGCTTTCTGATTTTTCAGTGAATGTATTATTGTATCTTCGGGGACATTCTCAGTCTTCGCGCGGTGATTACGGGAAATATGCTTTTTGTGTCGGTTTCAGGTTTTTTCTGTGTGAGTTTGATTGAGCATGCGTTAATAGACGATGCAGTGAGTGTTGAACGTTATTAGAATATCTTTTAATCGAAAATTTGGGGGAGGATTCTCTCTACCCCCTTTCGGCGACTTTGTGACGTGTGCGCTTGCTTTGTATATAATTTCCTCCCTGTGAAGCTACTTCAGTGATGTCGTATGTTAGCACGTCTTAAGAGGGTCTTCAATAACCGGAGAAATGTTGCGATGTGAGCCCGAAATTGGGCGGGAAAAGATTCAATTTTTATGACGGTTTCTTTGTTATCGACAACATGCGAACTTAAAAATTGGAACTTGCATTGTTTAAGTGGCAATACAGCGGCGGTTCTGTGGGTTTAAGGTTAAACACATTTGTCTGATATAAAAGAGGAATGCGTAGGTTTTGCGTGTTGATGCACCGATAATTCTTACCGAATCTCTATTTTGTTCGAGTCTCGCCTAATTCTATTTCACCGCATGTAGTCTTTTTACTTATTTACTTGAGTCAATGTGCCCTGCCATACAGACACAGGTTCAATGATATTTGGTTAAAGATGGTCAATAGTAGGTTGTTTAGGCGAGACATTGAGGTCCAGAAGAGGCATTTCATTTACATGTGCATGTGGTGTATCTAAATGGTCAAGGTGTAGTAAGTTTTCAGATTTCAAGTACGTCAGTCTACTCGTTCCTGATTCTATTTCTGTGCTGCCGCAGGTGCATTGTCCAGGTTTGCAGGAATGGTTTGCAACTGACGTTGCGGTAGTAGCAGAAGTTGCCGGCATGGACTTTTACAGCGTATGCAGGCTGCCATCAATTGATAGTGTTAGGGGTTCTATTCATATTTAGAGAAGGAGCGATATTTGCGCATTTCGATGGCAGCTTTGGGTAAGCGCAAGGCTGAAAAATCACCTACTCCTTCTTCGGAAGAAGAGGAGGAAGAGGCTGGGAATGGGAACGAGGTCACAAGTGGCTCTGAGGAGCTGGATTCTGACGAGAGCACTGACCCTGAGGATGAACTCAATACCAGTAGCGACTCCGAACACAGCTCTCAACCTTCACAGGTATCTAACGCTATCTTTTAACAAATTTTGAGCTTCGTACTCGTGATAGCTGACATGACCTCAATTGGTTTACTACCTATGCCCTTGTATTGTGGTGATCAGGAGCTATAGAAGGATTCTCTACTTGTGTTTTTAGAAACATATCGTCAACAGAGTCAAGAGATGGATAGAGGTGGGATGGCTTGGTTATTGGGTTCCTATTGATTGGTGAAGGCATCTTACTGCCGTCTGCACCTGAGTTTTCTTAATCTAGAGAAGACTCTACTCCATTACACTCTGCAGCGATGGTTTCATGTTCAATTAACATCACAATATTCCACTGTGACATTCTACTGCTGGTAAAAGCTTCCTGTGTTCATCAGTTGGCAGATTTGTGTGATGAACCGTAATTTATGTAATAATGTGGGCGTGAAATTCTCCAGGAGATCGTGGATGTTGACTTTGAGTATTTTGATCCAAAGCCGAACGATTTTCATGGTATCAAGGCATTGCTGCGCACATACCTGGACGACGAAACGTGGGATATCAGTGGCTTTACAGATTTGATATTGGCACAGACAACTGTGGGCACTGTCGTGAAGGCTGACGAGGATGAAAGTCCTATTGCCCTTCTCACTGCTCTTAACATTGGCCGCTATCAGGTTAGGGCCCTCGAGACTCTTACTCAAGGATTCTTAGGTTGTTAGCAGTCCATGCTAATTCTTTCCTCATGCACTACAAGCTCAGAGTCTGTTTATCATTCTCAGTGATGTTGACTGAACAGTGTGTCGCTACACGTCCAAAAGAATAATCGCTTGCGATGATCATGTGGGAAACTTGGAAGTCTTCTACATGCTCATGAAACCCATTTTCGTGCATCGACTTTGAGCTTTCAAAGGCCTCTCACAAACAAATTGCTTTTTTACCTTGAATGCAGAAATGCAGTTGCATGGTGGAGATTCACAAATACTTGCGAGTTAAGAGCGCACATAAAGTTGAATCAGCTTTGTTGGAGGATTTTTGGGGTAAATACGCAAGGGAGGTTGCTCTTTTAATCAGTGAACGGCTGGTCAATGCGCCTCTTGAATTGGCTCCTCCTCTGTACCAAGGTCTTTTTGAGGAAATTTTGTGGGCTACAGAGGATGAGGTTAGGCCTACTTCTGGTCGATATTCAATTGGATGCCTATAGTATGTACAGTTGTAGCCGTAGTGGGTTGGGATTTGTTTGCAACACGATATTTTCTAAGTTAGATGCTTTCGTAGGAGTTGCCCGATTTGATTGAGGCTCGTGATGAAGAATTATATTGATTGTATTTCCTTCATTATCTTTGTTATGGCAGCCCACACAGGAATTGCGGGAGTCCTTCAAAATCAAGCACTACTTATATTTAACTAAAGTTTTTGAAGAAGTAACAGAGGAGAAAAGTCGAGACAAGGAGCAGAGGAAAGTGAGTGGATCCATAGCTGACCCATACTTGCTCAAAGTAAATCATGTAGAGAAAGATACTTCAAAGTTATTCATTTTTTACCAGTCATTGTAACAGTAATTTATCGTTAATGTTCCTCTCATGAAATGTTGGATTTGTGTACTTTATTTATTTGTTTTTTGTACGCGAGCGCGCGTGTAAGAGGGAGAGGTAGAGACCAAGCTATATATGCGAGCCTTTTACCTTCAAATATTTTCACAATTTTTTTTTTTTTCTGGGTTCACTCGAACGTTTCAAATGAATTGTGTGCTTTTCTTTGTATAATTTAATTAGTTCACAGTGCTGAATGGTTCATTTCATTATTTTCAACAGAAGCAAAAGGAAGAGTCTGAAGCTACTGGACAGCTTATATACATAAAACCAGAAGATGAGATTCTGCATGAGGTATTTACTAATCATTAGTCTTACACTGAAGTGTACCGATGCCCCAATGCGTCGGTATCTGAACTTGCATGTTTAAACTGTTACGCAATCTCATGAACGTGGTTAAGTGATGAATTTGGTTTTCAGTTTCATGTGTATCGTCGCTGGTGGTTTGCTTGAGTCGGTTTTTTCGTAAATTATTTGTGATTGGTTGGCTCTTGTAAAATTTTACTTTCTGACATGAAACGGTATCACAATGGATGCAGTTAAGTTCTTGGTCATTCACGTTCCCAGTTACAGGAGACGGTGCGGCGGCTAATCAGGTAAACACCTCCGACCCATTTGGAATCGTTCGTTTTCATCATGTAGTAACGTGCACACATGTAAATATTTGCAGAGCTTTGTTACCACAGTATCTCTTACGGCATCTAGAGTTTATCTGGCTATTTGTGATGAATTGCGCCTTCATGCTGATATGATGTACTCCAAATAATGCAATGTGTTGAAGCGTAACAGAGTCTAGAATTGTATGTTTGATTCAGACTAAGGGTTTGCAACAACTGCGGTTAGTAATGGCTGTGGATGCAAAACACGAAGAAAAATTTCAAGCGGAATTGAAGAAGCTAATTGAATGACGAGGTTTCATCGCCAGGTTTAGAGCGTCTTCGTGTGGTGTTGTGGTTCCCTGTGGGGTCTATCACTTCGACCAAGGTGTTGGTTTATAGATACATGCATCTATCCAAATTATTATATTTTCCCCACGTATTCAAAAACCCTTTGTTTTCGTGTATCAATGAATCGAAGTGACGTGAGATCTTGCTGTGACCAAGTAATTTGTCTTAAGGAGCTTACATATGAGAATTCCCGCGTGGTACTCTTGAAGCTATTGCTGAATGTTGCCTCTGGCGTAAGCTTGCTCTCAAGGTTTCGGTTCGATTGAATTTTCACTCTTATCGGATTCCTCATCACTATCTTCAACGATTATGGAATGTATCGAGATAAGTATAATATTCATTGTACTGAAATGTCGACGAGCTGGTAGGATTTCTTTCGAACTCTCAGAAAGAGTCCAATACTTTAAGCGAGTCCCATCTCATGTCCACACATAACTAGTTGACAAAATCACATGTTGGCTTAGGAAGCACATATTCCTGAACCAAAAACCGTTACGCATAATCACAAACAAACTCACGATGTAAAGTAACCGGAGTTAGTGGTAGGTCGAGCTTATCTCGTGGTTTCCTGTCTTCATTCTTTTCGCGTCACAAAACAGAGAATTAGAGCCGCATGTGTAGAATTACAGGAACAAGAATTTCAACCCGGTGATTGTTTTTGAATGAAAGTTCGCAAAATGGCAAAGTATTTCATTGCTTTGAAGGGAGGCATTAAATAGACTCACAATGCAACTCTTAGTCACAAAATCACACGATTATCTGCTCTGACAACCAACCAGGTGCCATGACCACAAACCGAACCCAGAAAAGCAAACACTTCTTCCAACATTGATTGAATAGACTTCACTAGTCGATACAAACACTAATAACATTGAATGCACTTTTGAACACAGCCACTTATAAATCCGAAGATGGCGAGGATAGACTTTTGGCAACTGTTCAGCATTCCGGGGCCCTTCGACCCATCTTCAGCTTCCACTCCAGGGATGTTCGAAAAACCAAAATAGTGGTAATCAAAAACCACTGATGAGTGTTTCAGGCCATTTTTAGATGGAAGTATAAATGAAGACAGCGAGTCTATATAATGAGGGGTCACTCGGCAGGGCGACAACTTCATTTAGACAAGTGTCAAGTTCCGTAGACAACCAAGCCCAACAACTGATGGGTCCGAGGATTCTGTTGCTTCTGGGTTTCGTCCTCTTTCTGTATTTTTGGATTTATAAGACTTTTCCTGCAAGGTTAGTGGTTTCTAAACAGATGGGATGGGGCTCCATTGCTGGGAAAGTGTGGATTCAATGGATTTGGGGCATATGTTGTCCAGTACGTTTTGACCAATTGGGGAAAGACTCATGCATCTTTCTTTTAAAGATCTAATTAATTATTTTCAGTACAGAGAACTTGAGATATAACACATGAGACCACTCACGTTGCTGCACTTACTGACTACAGTTCTACTGTTGTATGAATTATGATATCACTTTTTGAAACTCTGAAGTTCTAATAAACTTATTATTACTATCATTATTATTATTTATTATTATTATTATTAATAAAAGTAACAGTGTTTAATTACTCTTGAAAGAATACAGTTGAGACCAAGTCCCTCAGCAGGTTGTGTGGTCACAAAGCCCAGGTGATTAATCCCATCTGGGTGAAAAAAGATTACCATAGCAAAAGACTTGGTTGTGAAACTATGTGTTGCTAAAATCTTGTGCAAGTTTAGCTTTTTTGGATGGACTACAAGAGTTCAAGAGACTTGAGATATGATTGTATCATGCCATGTCAGCATAGATAGTTTCACACCAAGCATAGTGGATAATTAGGAAACGGTCTATTTCTACTTCAATAAAGATTAACTAGCAGCATGAATACCAAATTTGTTATAGTATGGATATGCAAAGAATGTCTTCTATTGAGCCTAAGTGGCAAGTAGTGGGAGTGTAGTCATTCAATTGTCACATTCTAGAGGAGATACTTGTAAATATTTCTTGCAAAGAAGGTTGTAATAGGAGACCAAGTCTTTCCCAAAGGGGTAAAAAATAATGCCAAATGTACTTTATTGGTGGGCATTGTCAAAGACAATGTTTAGTGGGTTTGGTAGTTTTGCTCTAGCAACATTGACATATTATCGGTAGGCCCATCTCTGCACTCTAACTTCTTGTAAAGAAGCCCTCGAAGTTAATCTGCCAAAAGAATGCTTGTAACTTGGCTGGTTTATTAGCATCCCAAAGTATATTGGTGGTCTCCTTGGATTCTTTATTGGTTAGACCAAGTCTTATGTGGGGTGTGTGAGGCCATAATGAAGTGGATTTATATTGAGCATATACTAACATCTTCTTTTTGTAGAATAATTTAAAAACTTTGTTTCTTTAAAAAGTAGTGTCACACTCCAATGCCACTCTTTTGAGTCAAATGAGAGGTTACATATAATATTGATTAGGAGAACCAATCTTGTATATGTCAATGTAAGATTGAGATTTGTGTATTGGAGGTTGCTCCAACATGTGGCTATTCTTATCCAATGTAGGTCCCATTTTATAGTTTCTATCGTAATATCAATTGTTATAATATATACATTAGAGCCAAAGAAATCAAAAGAGACTCTAATGTGGGATTCGTGGAGTTGGAAGAATTATACAATTTTCTAAATTGAATCTAGGATAGCAACCTATTCATATTTGAGAAAGGATAGTGATTGTAATATACTCTAAGAGCATGAAAACAAGTCTAATATTCTAGCTTAGTATTAGTCAATCTAGTTTCTATTGAGCATTATTGCTAATTTTATCATCGATTTTTAATCACATTGACTATTGTTCTAAAGGTCTTTTAGTTGGATAATATTGTTTTACATTTACATATTGCCAAATAAATATATTGAAGCTCCAAGCATGCTACTATAAAGTGTGACAATTTCCACATTCCAAAAAATATATTACATGATTGTAGTATTGACATTAATAGGCTGTTGAAATTGTATGCCATGCAAAATACTTGACTAGGCATTCTAGACTGCCTACTAGATGTCGAATCTTAATCCATGAATATGTTTAAGAAATAATATGAAGTATTAATAGAATAGCCAACATCCTTCATATTTTAACTATAATATTATTAATAGTGTTATTGATAGTTTTTCATTCCTAATTGATATGAAGTCTTTGATTTAACATGTGTATATTTATGGATGTATATATATACATCAAGCTCTAAAAATATAGTTTATATGTTATAAAAATAATTAATATTAGCCAAATTTATTCTAATTACTTCAAAAAAAATAAAAAATAAAAAATGATTATCTTCTGAATAGTAGATTTATGTAAATATGTAATAAGAATAAATAAAAATATACATTGGATAATAATTTTTGAAAACTTCTTTGGAAGCAATAGCAATTTTTTTAAAAAAATTATTATAATTTGTTTTCTAATTTTTTTTCTTTTATTTCTTTTGAAGTATAGTTGCAATATATGTACTTTATTAATCAATAGTTAATCAACTTAGAGTTGGAAATTTTATTTATATTTTAGAAAAGAATATTAATTATAAAATTAATCATGTTAGTAGCTTAGTTAGGAGGTCACTTGGTTGATCTCGTCTCAAAATGAGATGAATGACATATTTTGTGCTAAAATTCTAATGTTGATGAATTTGAATCTTTGTTTCTAACACATTATATTTTTAAAAAAGAATTATAGTATATATAGTATTATGGTGTTATATTGTCTATATATTGTTACTTAACTAAATTTGAGATGGAAAGCTATGAACACTGGATAGTTATCAATATCTACTATAAAGAGCCATTAAGTAATCTCTTATGTTATCATCATTGTGAGTGAAGTTAAATTTGACTAATAATTTGCTATCATATGAATCATTGAATATTATTAGTAATTTTTGTTAATTTAAATTAAGGCATTTTGTATGGACTACTAAGAAACTATTCAAAATATTATCATTATCTAAATTGTGTTTAAGGATAGAGATAGAGAGATAGAAGAAGATAGATGTTATAAAAGAAAATATTGTATATCATAAGGTCTAATTTTTTTGTTGTATGTAAGGATGGCTAATATGTTATATTGCTCTTTTATGTTTGAGAGATGCATTTAGGATAATGTAATTTCAAGTTCAACTGCATCTAGAGTTTTGGAGTCACTTTTTTTTGTATCGCATTTTTTGGTTGGTGGCCAAAGTAGAGGTTTTTTATATGCTAATGATTGATCTATGGTTTAATTGAATTCTATGATCATGGTGCTAAGACTTTTATCAAAATCAAGTGGTTCAATATTTATTCTTAGAGCCTAGTTAGGATGGTCAATAGATATATGTTATTAGATGCCATATCTTAATCAAGATGAGTCAAGATTTAGAAGTCCTTCATATTGTTCTATTAGAATTGTAATTTATCAAAGTAAAAGATATTGTCTTTGATGGAGACTTTGAATTATGTAATAACATGATAAACTATACTACTATCTTTTGACCTTTGTCATTGATGGATCTATTATGTTGCATTCCATCTAAATGAATAGAATGACTTATAATTGATTCCATAACTACATAGGAGGCTCATCTAAAGCTAATTCCAATAATATTGCTAAACGTCTTTGAGAGTTTGTAGAATCCTTGTAAAAAAAGTGATTCAAATCCCTTATACTTTTTTTAAGATTTCACCTAGGTATTATTTATGGAAGTTGATTTGAAGTGTATAAATAATTAGCCATATTTAGAAATATTTTTTAATATTGTGAGAGATAGAAGAGAAGTTGAGTAGTTTCTAAATATATTCTTTAAAAAAGCTAGAAGATATTTGTCTTTTCATGCTTAACAATAGTATTGTTTGAATAGAATCAAAAGTCAAGGGATGTTTGATTATCTTTCATTTTTTTTCTTAATAATTTATAATCCTCCTCTATGATTGGTGTGGAAGAGGTGGGATGTTTATATAAAAATTAATGATATATGTAGGAAGACATAGTATTCAAGTTTGTATGGATAGTTGAGTCCCTTATTTGTAGTGCTTCTGGGTTTGTCTCATTCATACAAAATAATAGACAATTAGTATATGTGGTTATCTTGGCATTTAAAGTTTGTTGCTGATTTTTTGTTTTCTTAGTAACTTTTGCTTTTTGTAGCCAAGTGTGAATCCAACGAGGATAT